AAAATTATTTTAAAGAAATACAGAATTGAGTCTGGTATGAATGTAAGGTCGTGAAAATTAAAGACAAGGCAGAGCAGCCCCACACAAATACAATAAGAAATATAAATATTAAAAATCCATTTAAAGTATAAACTATCACGAACAAATGATTCAGGCGTAGGCGGAAAAGATGCACATTGAAAAATAAAAAATCCATGTAATTAATAAGCACCTCGATAAAAGAGATGAAGGCACGTGCCCGGCGTATATACTCTATATGGTAGGTGGCTTAGATTAAATATTTATTACTATATATCATAATGGATAATATGTGGACAGAAAAAAGTGAAGCCAACCATTAAAAATGCTCATAGCAATGGCTCCACAGGGTGCAAATTGCATTGTACTATTTTGATAGTAGCGGTAGGGATCACAGTCTGAAGTAAGAGATTCTTGAAATTTTCCATTAAGTTGGTTGTCGTCCCTAGATCTAACATATCGCCGATGATTTTGGTAAAAATTTGTCAATCCGTAATAAACATAGACAGGATACTACAAAAAATCATCAAGTTTAATAAAGTTATGTGGAATAAAACGAAGATTACTGGTATATCCTGTTCTAAAGAGATCTCTATCCGGCAATGACAATATTGATATTTATTGACAAATGATGGATTCTTTACTGATTCGGAACACATTGTTCTATTATCCTCAACTGAGAGACAATGTGTGTAGTCTACAATTTTCTCGACTATCTAACCTTAATAAAAAGAAAAAAGCATACCTGGTTTGAAGAAACAAGTAAAAACGCCCCAAGCGGGACAAATATGATGCCAACTATAAGGAAAAATGGGAAGACGTTTCTAGCAGTAACTATAGGTTGCCATGCGGGAAGACGCTGCTGATGAAATGTTGTATCTATGTTGATAGAAAAATTAAATATGGTGTGTATGCAAAACTATACCCTTAGGTTTTTTGGAAGGGGTTTCATGCTGAGGGAATTCTACTACCATAGGAGGGAATGACCCGAACTGGGGGACCGCCAGCAATACTGTATAGAAGCAGTCTATTGAAATAAAAAAGATATTAAAATAGTAAGTTGGTAGGTTTTTAAGATATTTTAATAATAATAAACATATGATAACCCAATTTGCTCTATAAAAACAAATAAAATTGTAATAATTAATAAAATATTTTAAAAGTAAAAATCAAATAATAAAAAAGTTGTATAAAAATATAAACATATTTTGTTTGCATTTATTGATTTGCGGACCATTGTTAGTCCTTCTAAGTTTCCGTATTTTCTCAGAAATAATTTTATTGATGTAAAACCTCTATTCCTCAATGAGCCACTTATACAACGGTCATGATAGTAAAAGTTCTTTATCCTCTCGTGAAGATCAACATTGTGAATTCGTAGCTAAATGAAAAAACTTATTTTGTCAATTTTCTTAGGTGAGATTTAGCAAGGTGGATAAGAATGAGGCACTGGAACGTTACATTAGAATGATTCCTATTGAAGATGCATTTAAAAAGCCATTTAAAAATCTGAGCAAAGAAATCAAGGTGTCTGTTCAAAAGTAGTGTGATTATTATTTTCTATATACATAGAGGCACGGCATTAAAGTCCAGAGGGGAGCTAATAAAGGAACTTGAAAAACGAGCAAAAAAAAAAGAAGGCCAAATGTATCAAGAATGTTCTAAAGAGCTTGAATATTTTTTGCAAAAACAAAGCAACAAAATTGAAACGGTAATTTTACTTTGCTTAAATCAGGGTTGTTTCTTCTTGCTTATTGTTCAAACTTAATTTAATAAAGTTTTAAGGACAAATGTGCTATTTTTTCTAGCTGTTGTTCTTATTTAATGCTTTGGCTTTGATAAAATTATTATTTATTGTGCTTAACTATTTGTATAATCTTTTATTGTAACGATATTAGAGACAATATTTCGTGATGAATATATATCAACTTCCCAGGTATTTTTCGTTGTTAGTCAAGATTTTTAGCTACATTTTTCTTTCTGTGCATATGTGTTTATGTAATTGGAGAATGATGCGTTTATATCTGAGCACTTAGAGGAAAGCAAATTACTTATCCAGACTACCAGAAAATATTTTACAAAAAATTTAATCTTAGTTAAAAACTTCCAAATAAAAATGCTTAATATTGATTTATGTTCATAACAGCTAAAACAGTTGTTCTTCTTATGATTCTAAAATATGCCAGCCAAGTAACCGTTAACATATTTGTTCTTCTTTGACCATAAAACCTAAAGAATGGTACTATTAATGACTTAGAATAGCGTAATTTTCAGAAAAATAATAATAGCTAACTCTTTTGCATATTCGAATTTTGCTCTGGCTCCTTATTATCTCAATATTTTCTTCCTATATGCTTATACAAACAAGACTGTTCTTCTGCTCTTTCATTGCACTTCCTTTTTTTCCTTGAAAGGATGAATGCTTATGCCAAACATAAAGTTTGTGATGCTATTACTCTAATTTAAGTGACTTATTCTCATTTGCACTACGTTTATCTGAGGCAATTGCGCCTGAATATACTGTTGATACATATAATTCATATATAATAGGTGTCTTTAAATGAGGTCATAGTAATCCACTAATTTGCTATTAAATATATTATCTTATGTAAGAAAAGAAAAACTGTATCAAAGATTTTTGCAATCTATAAAGATAAATATATATTATAATTATCTATATCATAAGCATAATCAATATAGAAGTGGGTTGACCTAGTTTACGCAACTTGGTCTTGCTATCAGAGCGGCTTACTTATTTAAAGCCCTCTGCCATAATAGTTATCATAATTATCAGAATCAGATATTGGAATTAGTACATTCTCATACGTTTCGTCTGAATCGTAGTCGGCATCATTCGTGAGTCTTGCCATTCTCTATATCAAACTACAAACTCATCAAAGAGACAAGGGAAGTCAATCCCTCGAAGAACGTTCTGCCAAA